CCCTGGGCTCCGCCGGCCTCCCCGGGACCAGGTCCGAGCGCTGGGAACCGGTGCAGCTCAGCGTGAGCCCCACTGTGTCCGGGCACCACCTAGGGCAGCAGGTGGAACTGCTCATCCCACCTGGATCCCTGCCTGGGCGGTGCCGGCAGGAGGAAGCCCCGCCCACTCCTGGGGAGACCTCCGTGGAAACTGAACCCTGAGCAGGGGCTGCAGGGGCGGGGAGGGGGGCTGGCAAGCAGGGGCGAGGCCTGTGCCCACGTGGCCCACTCACTTCTCGGGCTTCAGGTCCCTGTAGATGATGCCCAGGCCGTGCAGGTGGTCCAGCGCCAGGGCCAGCTCCGCCAGGTAGAACTTGACGTCCTCCTCCGTGAACATCACCTGCGAGCAGAGAGCAGGGCGAGCCGAGCTGGCGGCTGGTCGGTTTATCAACGCTCTGCCAAGGGGACCCAGCTCAGCCCCGCGAAGTCCACACCCGGCAGGTCCTGCTCTGCACACGCCCCCCGCCCCTCTCTGCCCCCCCGCAGGCGATGCCTCTGGCGCCCACAGCGGAAACAGGTCTATTTATAGTTTCAGGTCAGGGAAGGCGAAGAGCGAGCCTACAGAGCTGACGCCATCGGCGCCTGGACCTCCTCCCGGGTGCTCGCCCGCAGGTCACCAGCTCCGTCTCCCGGGCTTTGCATTTCAAAGGAGCTTCTGATGTGAACGCGTGAGGTTTAACACAGCCCAGCGCGAGGCGGCGAGGAGCTGACACCACGCCTGGCGCACGCTTCTCCCCCTCTCCTTGGCCACCTTCACGGATTCACGCAAACTGGCGGCGGCTGCCTGCCCAGAGGGCGACGGGCTCCACCCAGGACGACACTCCGTGGTGCGGGGTCAGCTGAGCGCCCCGAGCCGGGGACAGGGGGCGCGTGGGTGTCGGGGCACCCGATTCAGGCTGGGACATCACACACGTCAAGGTCATCGGGCCGCCAGGACACTCCCCGGTCCCCAGGGTGTCAGAGCAGCAGGTACTTGTCGTGGCTGCTGGGCAGGGAGCCAGAGCGGGCGGGGACACTGTCCACATTCACCCCGAGATCAAAGTCCCGACCGGAGCCCAGAACTCCCTCTGAGGGCGACACGAATCAGCCCCAGCGTGCTCAGCGTGAGCAAGGGCGCAGCGTTCGGCCGCGGGGACCGGAGGTGACTGTCAGGCTCACACAGACCAACACCTCGCTTCACACAGGGCACTCCCAGTGGGGCAGGGACCGTGCCCACAGCCTGGCAGGGACCCTGGTGCTACCGCCCTCCCTCCAGCCTCTGGGATCTCCCACTCTGCCTTCGTGTTCCACCAGCTCCCAATTTCTTTCCTAAACGGTCACCACATTCACGGGCTTCCTCACAGCAGCTCCGAGGCTGCCCAGCTCCCCTGACCTGACTCCACCCTGTACATAGAGCAGGTGCTCAGAGGGCAGACTTCTCCGCTAGGCCAGTTCTCCCGGCATCACCCGTGGTGCCAATGACAAAACACAGAGCGTCTCCACAGAAACAAAACACCCTGCAGCAGGCTCTGCAGTGACCACCACAGAAGGGACCAGACACCTCCTCCAGGAGGGACCACACACCTGGCCCAGGAGGGACCACACACCTCCTCCAGGAGGGACCACACACCTGCCCCAGGAGGGACCACACACCTGCCCCAGGAGGGACCAGGCACCAGGCGCGAAGGACAGCTGCTCTAGGAGGGCTTTTGCCAGAACTGGGTGTGATCTGTAGCCTCAGGCTTTGAACTATACTGCAAGCAGCCCCATAGGTCACTGCCATTGCCCGAGGGACCACCAGGAAATGAAGGGAGAGAGCCCACCCCCCCCACCGCGCCCCCGGCTCTCCCTCCCTCTGTCCCTGAGTCCCAGACAGAAAGGGACAGCCCACGACCGGCGAGGGCGGGCTTACCTCCTTGGAGAGCCGGGTGAAGAGGTCCCCTCCGCGCAGGAAGTCCAGGATCAGGTAGAGCTTCCCCTCCGTCTGGAAGGCTGTGAAGGGGAGAGCGAGCGGTCAGCAGTCCGGCCTCGTGGTCCCTGGGGTGGCCGTGTCCTCGGGTCAGTCTCTGCGGCTCCAAGGATCCTGTGTCGCGACCCTGTGACCTGGGTCACTTCACAAATGGAGGGAGCGGTGGGAGCCAGCGGCCGGGAGGACGTGGGGAGGGGCCGATATTAGCGAGCTCTCCTGCTTCTGTCACTTCTTAGGGTCTGGCTATTCTCTCTCCCTCCCCTCCTCCCCTCCTGCTTTAACCACAAAGGGGCCGGGGGACACAGGGAGAAAGGCACTGGCAGTCCCTGTGCGGCTGCTGTTGCCACAGTCAGGCTGGGCCTGGGGGACGAGGGGTCTCTCTCTGCTGGGGGTGGGGGGCGGGGAGAGAGGTGGGGGCGATGCTCTGACAACGGTGGGTGGAGCCTCCTTTCCTTCCCACGGAATTGCATTCTCTCTGGCTCGGGGCTCGAGGGCACCCACCCTCCGATGCCCTCTTTTACGGCAGCGCAGTGACCCGCTGGGTGGCTATTCGACATCATGTCAGTGGTACGGGCGCTCCGGGTTTGATCACAGCGCCACGATTATGGGTGCACTGCTTGTGCCTCAGTCACGGGCCACAGACATAGCTCCGCCCACCATTTAGCCAGGGTGCCCAGCCAAATGGGCTGACCGTGCACACAAGGGCCAAGAGAGACCGTCCGTCCGGCCGGTGGGGCTCAGTGTCTGAGCATCGACACATGACCCAGGAGGTCACGGTTCGATTCCCCGTCAGAAGAGATAAAAAGGCAGAAAACTGACAGGAGGTGTATGGCCCAGCAGGTAAGTGGCGTTGGGCAAATTATTTGATTTGATCCTCAGTTTTGTCTTCTGAAAAATGGAAATAATAACCTACTTTGCAGGGCAGTTTAAAATGCTTGAAGCAGGAGCCACTTAAAATGCAGGAAGTGTTACCATCTCTGCTTTACATAAACTACTGCGTCACAAAGCACTTTATTTTAAAACAACACAAAAATGTCATCGGTTTGGCCCCATTCTAGGCCAAGGGACTTTTTTTAACCACTTAATCAATGACAATAATCTATATATATAAAAGCCAGTAGCTATGATGTGCACTGACCATCAGGGGCCAGACGCTCAGTGCGAGAGCAGAAACCACAGGCATGGAAACATGGAACAGACTGATGAATGTCAGAGCAAAGGAGGAAGGGGGGAGGGCGGGAAGAGATTAACCAAAGGTCTTATATGCACACTAGAGGCCCAGTGCACAGATTTGTGCACTGGTGGGGTCCCTCGGCCTGGCCTGTGGGGACTGGGCCGAAACCAGCAGTCCGACATCCCCCGAGGGGTCCCGGATTGCGAGAGGGTGCAGGCCAGGTGCACAAATCTGTGCACCAGGCCTCTAGTTAAAGAGTAATAATGTATAGCCACCTCACAGTAGGCCTTCGAGAGAAAAATAAGGCACTTGCTCCTTTTGAGAAAACGAGTGCTGAGCGACTCGGAGGGGGCAGGGGGACTCGGGGCCCTCTCTGACTCTGGCTCCTCCTCAGTGCCCGTTTGGGGGTGCTGCCCCTGGTCCCCAGAGCAGTGGCTTTATCTTGTTTTTCACTGTATTTACCGTAGTGCAGCTTCACGATGAAGGGGTGGTTCACCTCTGCCAAGATGTCTCTCTCCATCTTCGACCTGACGCGGTCCCGAACTGCGGACAGAAACCGGGCTCACACAGGCAGGCCCGGCCCAGGGACTCGGCACCAAACACTGCCGTGAGTCACCCCCAACTCCTCGTCACAAGCATGGCACACGTGCACAGAGTGGAACTAGAGGGATGATGACCAGGAGGTCCCGCAATCGCTGGTATTTGTGCACACGCTCTCTCTCCACACACACACACACACACACACACACACACACTAGCCAGAAATCTGACTCTCACCTGCCGGCCGACACCATGACCCCCAGGCCCAGCACCTCCTGGGAATAAGGACAATCTCCTATACAACCAACCGGACGGCCACCCCTAGGGCATTAGCTCTCATGCCATGATCTCACCGAACATCCTCCCCAAACCCCATGTCATTTACAGCGGGTTTTCCCGACCTAGGAAGCTCTCAAGTTCACACATCGTTGTTCCTTTGTTCTCTCTCTCTCTCTCTCTCTCTCTCTCTCTCTCTATCTCTCGCTTTGTTAATCTTTACTCAAGGATACTTTCCCATTGGTTTTTAGAGAGAGTGGAAGGAAAAGGGAGAGACAGAGAGAACCATCAATGTGAGAGAGTCACATCGATTGGTTGCCTCCCGCAAACCCCCGACTGGAGCCGGGGGTCGAGCCTACAACCTGTCTTCTGTCACCCGAGGTGGGTCCTCTTCTGGGGAAAGTCCCTGTCCCATCGGCCTGTCCAGCCCCCATGCCCTGGCCCCGTGACGTGACCGGGAGGCAGGGTGGACAGAAGGGGACATGTGCTCCTGCACCCCTCGCCGCCTCCCTGCAGAGCGCGGCCTTGGTGCCGGGTAAGAGACTCTGAAACCCTCCGGGATCGATGTCCTTGTCACCGCGTTCAGATCCGCTTGGAATGTAATGAGCCTGTTCAGTCACACGCCTGATCGTGAATGGAAACCAGGGACACGTGAGCCTGGGGCACATTCCAGCTGCCCAGGGGCTATAGTCACAGTGGGAAAGCAAGTGTCTGTGTCCACCCTACAGTCACACCCCCATAAACCCAGGTCCACTGGGGAGTTCAGTGCTAACGAGCATCGAGCCACGCAACGGTCCGGTCCCCGAGACGGTGCGGCGGGAGGCTGGAAACCTGTCCAGTAAGTCAGCGAAGACACAGCACCGGGAAGGGACAGGCCGAGCTACGGAGCAGCTGCACGTCGGCATCCAGAGGCCGACGCACGTGCATGATGACCGGAAACCAACCGCGAAGGGCCGGGAGCCCCGTCAACACCCCGAGTCCCCTGATGGCACCTAAAACAAGAGAAGGGCCGGCTCCGGCCGCGGTGCCCATCCCGGGACGCAGACGAAACACGTCCGGGAAACATTTCCATGTGAGACGTGAGCTGGGAGCCGACGCCCGGGCAGACCCTGGCAGAACCCC